GCAATGCATTTTCATAGTGAAATCATTGGCAATGCATTTTCTTAGTAAAATCATTGGCAATGCATTTTCTTAGTAAAATCATTGGCAATGCATTTTCTTAGTAAAATCATTGGCAATGCATTTTCTTAGTAAAATCATTGGCAATGCATTTTCTTAGTAAAATCATTGGCAATGCATTTTCTTAGTAAAATCATTGGCAATGCATTTTCTTAGTAAAATCATTGGCAATGCATTTTCTTAGTAAAATCATTGGCAATGCATTTTCTTAGTAAAATCATTGGCAATGCATTTTCTTAGTAAAATCATTGGCAATGCATTTTCTTAGTAAAATCATTGGCAATGCATTTTCTTAGTAAAATCATTGGCAATGCATTTTCTTAGTAAAATCATTGGCAATGCATTTTCTTAGTAAAAATCATTGGCAATGCATTTTCTTAGTAAAATCATTGGCAATGCATTTTTCTTAGTAAAATCATTGGCAATGCATTTTCTTAGTAAAATCATTGGCAATGCATTTTCTTAGTAAAATCATTGGCAATGCATTTTCATAGTAAAATAATTCCCACGGCATTTTCATAGTAAAATCACTCCAAATGGATTTTTCCTAATAAAAAATTATCAATGAATTCCTATCGTAAAATAATTTCCAAGCTGTTCGACTTTGGGTAATGATTAACTAGGCAAGTCTGTTGGGCAAAGAAGACTTTAATAGATGCCTACGTAAAATTCGAAATGAAATAACACACAAAAAATTGACATGTGGTAAATTCATCCAAGCTAACCTAAATTTACTTACAATATATTTTCTAATAAAACTATTTCCAGTTCATTGGGTAATGCTTAGCGAATCTATTCTGAACGCCTATTACTACTAAGTGGTGAGTTAGAACCACTCTTATAACCAAGCAATGCTTGTCTTGTTGTAAAATTAAACAAGAAAATAGTCCAGGAAAATGTTTTAAAAATATATAAATCGTACAAGAGAAAATGACCTGAAATTTATGAGTTGTTTTTATATCATGCCGTTATTTCTGTCACATAAATCTACTTGTAAAAATCATCCACAAAATAAAAAAAAAATCAGTCTGTAATCAGAGAATAAAGCTTTCCTCTGTGAATCGATCAGTTGATGTATGGCTAGAAAAAACAAAGCCATGATGACGCCATGACCAGTTTGAAAAAAATATCGCATCTAAATAAAAAAAAGGATGGCTTGAAATACAAAAAGCGTCGGCTTTGCGTTTGCGTATCACATTCGGAGAGTAATTATTCACTACTCTGGATTTATCAGCCCTGACTCATTCATTTACTTGGAGAACAAACAAAAAAGGTTTAATATAAGCCGGAGAAAATTGGAGGACAATTTTTAGAGAGTGTGGAAATTTACAGACATCAAAGACGAGAGATAGAAAGGTAACACGAATACAATGACTAAACTATTTACATGAGGACTATTGTTCTCATTTCTGTACTTGTTATCACAACGTTTCGAGCATTGTAACCTCTGGCTTTATCAAGCGCATATCGGTCCATCTGACCTACAGGGAATTCAAAACTGAACGACACCCTAGTGGATGGCTTGTGAAATTTAGTGCCATAGTAATTGGCAGTCCAATCCCTAGACCGGGCAATATGTACTGGGAAGCATCGCAAACAGGACGAGTAATAACTGAGCATTACATAGAATATGTACTAGAGATATCCTTAGATATGGGAAATAGAATGAGAACAGTCTGTCCTTCTAAATTGACTCTACATTATCAGGCTCGGCATACACCTGATGAAGACCGGATGGTAGAAATTCTGAAACACTGTGTTAGAAACAACAAATATAAGAACAGTTGTCCACATATAAATAGAGTAAATAAGGATCTCTCCTCATTCCAGGTATTCGGACAGAAAGACTTAAAAAAACGAAATGAATATGATTTGAGGGAAAGGAACATCATAAAGAAAAACGTATCAACAAATAAAAAAAGCAACTACGATATCTTTCGTAATTTAGATGACCTTGTCATAATACTGCAGTTATAAGACACTCATTGAGATTTTAACTAACTACCCATTAACCATTCTTTGTCTGATCTGACGTTTATTAGGAGAGAACAACGCCGTGGTAGTTCGGTAATCTCTGGGGCGATGCAAGAAACCGACCATTCTTTTAATATCTTTTGATACCATTATTCCATTAGAGATCGGGAGTGAGCATTAGTCCCAGTAGTTGTTCCAGACAAGGAGTCTCTTTGAAGGTATTACCATTTATCAGGACAGGTCCAGATTTAGGGTCTGTTAGGGTTTGATGAAATATTACGATTTTATCGAAACTATTATTATTACTTTTGAGACTGGAACAAATAGTCGTGTGCTTAGCATAGATATCGAGTTGAGAAAATATACGGGACGTAACAACAAAATTGTCAAAAATTGTGTAACTGCAAAATTGTCTAATTGTTAGATTAATATTTGAACCGGTGTAACTTAAAAAATGATTAAAGAGATGTTACTGAAAATCTCCGAGAGTTTTATAAAATTATTGGATCCTATTTTGAACAATAAGAATATATTTAGCTCTAAGTTAAAATGATTATCGCTGTTGTTGTTGTGACCGCCTGATACAGTTTTACTAAAAAGGATGGCATAAATAGTTCAGTTCGAAATTCATTGTAGCTTGCAGGAGTCGATATAACTTGATGGCCGGAGGGTACGTCAGCGGAAACGTAATACTAAGAACAAATATGGTCCGCATATAAATAATGTAAATAAGGATAACTCTTTATCCGCGGTATTGGGGCAGAACAACTAATGAAAACAAACGAAATGAAGATGATGTAAGTGAACGGAAAATCATAAAGAAAATTATATCAACAAAGAAATAAAGCGACTGTGATATTTTTCGTAATTTAGAAACCCTTGTTATAAAGCTGCAGTTACAGTACACTTCATGAGATTTGAAGTAATTACCCATTAACTATTCTTGGTCTGATTAGATTCTTATAAGGATAGAGCATCGCCGCAGGAGTTCGGTAATTTCTGGGGCGATACAAGAAACCGCCCATTCTTTCAGCATCTTTAGCAAAGTCATAAATATCAGTCAATTACATGCCATGCCTGATACCCGCTTAGGTATCTTACAATACATAACTGACGAGGCATATTTTTTCCGAAATAGGTTGCCATTTCTTTCTGCGGTCGACCAGTGGTCATCCAACGGTATAGAACCCAGTCTGTCCTGCTATTTACCCATAGCTGGGGAGAGAAGAATAGGATTCATACCTTTCCCAATGGTATAAGCGCGTAATTGAATGTAATGGATTCGACTCGGCTCTTTGGTTCCTCAATCCGAGCTGCTACGCGTTTTATTTGGATTCTGAACTGAGCTTTAGCCCTAGTAGGTATCAAAGCGCATTTATCTTTTGTAACGTTGGGGTTTTTGAAAAGCTGTCACTAATACAAATCCTTACGGGCGTGCCTCATCACTTTAACCAAGTGACTTGCTGAAATGCACTGAGAAAAAAGTTTGTGTCAAGTTTAGAGATAAGGTAACATTCACGATTCTAAATGCCGAACTTTTAGCTCTTCAGAAGGTAGCAACGATGTGTAAAGGTACAACAGAGAAAGTGTCATGGATGCAAAAAGCAGTGTTATATCCCTGATGGAACTAAAAAAAACAAAACAAAGCACTACTTGCTTATTATTTGTGGCTTGCGAGGCAGAAAACATTTTTTTAGTTTCCAGAGCTCGAAGCGATACAGAGGCGAATCGTTTGGGTAAAGAGGCATGAATTGCATGCTTAACTCCAGATAGATATATCTGTGTTATATCTCTCTCTAGAACAATATTCATGTAGCTTCAAGTTTCTTCTTCATCTCTGAGGAGACTATTCAGCATCCACTGCATGATAGGAGGACATATAGCACATTAGGATTGGTTGATTTTTCCCTTTATTTAGAAAATCAACATTGCAAGTTTCGTTTCTGTTTCCATTTTCCCTGAAACGCCGTCATTGCTCACATAGTCGGTTCATGGTATCCTCAGCATCCTTCTGTAGAAATTTCAACTTTCTCTTCATGATGTTAAGTATAAGTTACCTTTTTGTTTCAGTTTTCTCTAAAACTTCGTCGTTGCTCACATGGGCTGTTCATGGAATCCTCAGCATCCTTCTGTCGAAATTTCAAGTGTCTTGATGTTAAAGTAAGCGTGCTTTTTGTTTCCATTTTCTCTAAAACGTCGAAGTTGTTCACATGGTCTGTCCATGGTATTCTCAGCATCCTACTGTAGTAATTTCATTTGTGAAAATTCTTGATCGTTATTTCATTTGCTTGGACTTTGAACTGAAATATTCATATGTGCATTTTCTTTTCTTTTTTAACGACGCGTTGTCAATGGTGTGTATATTTTAAATTCATTGCATCATTTACCTTCAGACTACTGCCTTTATCTTTTCAGTTCATGTCTTCGGGTCTTATTCCGGCCTCTGCCAATCCAGATAATATTCATAGAATTTCAAAACAAACCCTTATTTAATTAATGTGCATATAATGTAGTTAAACTATATATGAATTGTTCTTTTTGATACCGCTCATTTATTGCTCACCCTTTTTTTCCCATTGATTTCAACGTGACACAGGAATTAAACTCATTATTACTATGCTACCAAATTCAGGAAAAAACTCTTTATTTCCTAGAAAGATATTAACTTGTGCAGTTATTGTCATTCACAATATTTATCTTGATTTTACATATAGAAACAATAGATTGATTCGTTTTTACGGCTTATAAGTTATTTAAAGCCAAAAAATATTGATTTTTGGAAGATAATAGCATTTTTGTGATACAAGTTTTACTACTTAACCCATAGCTAGGCTGTAGAAAAGGTGACGTCAAAATGTTCCAAAAGTTTATTTGCGCGTAAGTCAATATAATAAACCCGACACTAAATTCGATCTCGCTTCTCCGACTAACGAGACATTAGCCATTGCATCACCCGCAAACCCAAGCTACCAGTACCTGGTATTCCCAAGTGGTCACCCATCTAGGTACTAAATAGGAATGAGGTTACTTAACTACGGTGATCGTACGGGAGCCGATATTTTAACTTTATGTTGACCAAGGCATACTTTAGACAAATTCAGTTAAATTTCCTGCATTTCTTAGAAGAAACATTGCGATTATCACAGACTTTCATCTTATTTCTCTCTCTAAAATAGGCATTGTTATGGGAGGTATATTTGCCCGCAAACAGGTATTGAATGACAAAAGACAGCAACAAACGAAGCAAAGATTTGAGTAAAAAATTATATCGCCAAGTTTATTTTTGTTAAAGAAAATACATCAGCAAAAAAATAATATTCTATTGAACCTGGCAAAAGGTAACTCCAGAGGATGATAAGTGCGTTGTCCTGGGAAGGACAGTTATGCATGTCACTGGAGAGCGTTGTCCTGACAGTTTATGGCATATCGTTGCATATCTGGAAGCCTGTTGGAGCGGCAGGAGACTGATACCTCCTGGAGATGGTGTTAGCGGCGGCCGATTGAAAGATGGAGATGATGATTGACTTTCTGGGACTGCTGCTGATGGCTGGAACCGTGACCTGGCAGCTGCAACAGATACTACACTTTGAACCTCCTCATCTTGACCTCGGAATGCCTGTTTTTCTGCTGCTGATATTTCTTTAGAGCGTGAATCAGCCTTACAACAACGCTGGTTTAGTTTTTTTTTTTTACAGTTGTTTTTAATAAATATCGAAGAGACGACAAAATAATCTTCCACATTTTCTAGATGACACGATCTTTGTCTGTCTATATTTCTGAGATGAGGTATTATATACAGTATTTACATTAGTCGGACTATTATCCTCATCTTTGTCGCCATATTCGTCGCCATATTTGTCACAACGTTTCGGCCGTTTTACGCTCCGGCCTTCTACAGGTGGTTGGAATTTCGAACTGAACCCTTTATTTCGATCACCGGGGTAGACTGTTCTAGTTCCACGTGCCATGTTTGATAGATGTCAGTTATTAGGTTTATAATACCCAGAAATTCATACCATTCATACCCAGATGTCCTCAAGGACACATGGCACAGTGGATAAAGGCGTTGGTTAGATCCAGTGACAGACCCAAGTGTGAGTTCAATACACGGTTAAGGCAGTGGAGAACTTTCAGAGGGAAAATTAGCAGGAGATAACTGATAACTGACATCCATCAAACATGGCACAAGAACAGTCTACCCCATCGAAATAAAGGGTTCAGTTCGAAATTCCAACCACCTGAAGAAGGCCGGAGTGTACAACGGCCGAAACGTTGTGACAAATATGGCGACAAAGATGAGGACAATAGTCCGACCAATGTAAATACGACACGATCATTATTATTAACTTTTTCATCGTGTGGCTTTCATCTTATTTCTCTCGCTTTTCCAAGTAGCAATAATAAAATTAATCGTCTGATTACTCAGAGGAATTCTTATAAGTATGGCAAATCACGGTTCTTTTTATATTTGGTCTGAAATAAATAACTACATGAATTGGTAAGAATGATAAAGCCTTTATTTATAATCTGATTATTATGTGCAGAAAATTACAGTAAAAAGCAACAAAGATATTAAATACCACTTAAAAAGTAAGACAAACGACCTAAGCTTATTACACCTTTAAAGACCAGAAAAAATTAACAATATACATTCATAGAAGAGTCTGCAATGTAATCCATCCTGACCAGACCTGACATCTCGACTTCACCCGCATTCTCAACGGCGTGATGTGGCTTCCCTCGTCGTGGTGATGACGATAAACTACATCCTGCCGCAAGGCTTCTGGTCGGAAAATTCTGAGGAACTTGGAACTGTGAACTGAACTGAAAATATTCATATGTCACCTCTTAATTGCTGTTGTCTCCATGCCCACCCTAACCCGGGGTGTTTTTTTTGGGGGTGGGGGGTAGCATTTGTTATAGTCCCATCTATGGGCAAATAGTTAACCCCCAAACTGGAGTAAAAAATACATTTTTATAGTAAAAATACCAACAGTACATTTTCATATCAAAATTCAGTAAGAAAATTCAATTTCGGCATTGAATGACCCATAAGAAGCAAGCAAGCAAACAAACAAATAAATGTGGCTTCTTCTGTCTTTTCTACTAATATTTTCCTGGAAATTGTTTGGATGAGGTTTCCTCCATGATGCATTGACAGCATGAATTAAAGCGTTCAACTTGTTTATCAATTAGGTCTCACCTTTCAATAGATGAACTAGCTCGATGAAACTGTAAAAATTATTTGTATAGTTTCTTTTCTCGCACTTCTTGCCCTTGCGACTTCTTGCTTCCCTGGCATCTACAAACTTAAAAAATTTAAATGCAACGTCAATTGCTATAGTCTGTGTTCCTGAATTATGTTCGTTTATTATTTTTTCTACTTACTAAACTGTTTTCGTAGTCTTTCATTCCCAGTCAACGTGCGCGTCTTAGTGGCATTGTCGCCTTACTTGGGGTGATACGATTAAAATTATAGAAGTAGGACGATAATAATTTATAGACATTCGACTATGGTAAAAAATAATAAATCTCATGTAGGCTTGAAAATTAATTAAAATTTGTTCAGGCAAGCCCATATATATATATATATATATATATATATATATATATATATATATATATATATATATAACAAACGGAAATATATAATAATAATAATAATAATAATAATAATAGTCCCCCTGTCGGTTTCTACGTTTGAGGATCTGACAGCTTAGTTGATTCAGTTATGAAATTTTGGGCGATAATCTTATGGCATTTATATATATATATATATATATATATGTAGATACAAAATTTAATGATAGAAATAAAAGTGTAAAACTTAATATTACTAGACATATTAAAAACGGGCGAAGCAACCGGTTTCGCTCCCGCTCTTCAGGCTTCAACGGGAGATTTAATTTAAATTAAAAACGCATAAGATGTACAATAAAAAGGAAGTTGTGGAGGGAAAAATGAGCAAAAGGAACTAGAGACAAATGACAGCGAGCCCCAACAAACACTCACGTTGTTTACATAATAAAGAAGGCTTACGGGACCCGATGTAAAGTGTCCCCAGAAACTTAAGATAAAATAAAGAGTGTGACCGGGACAACACGGTGAACCAGTCGACACTAACAATATATATATATATATATATATATATATATATATATATATATATATATATATATATATATATATATATATTGATGAATGTTTCATTAAATAATATAGACAAGTTTTGTCTATTTATTTTAAGTAAGTTCCTTCCGCGTCTCGTATACCTGAGTTAGTCGTTGCTTTGAAATTTTTCATGCAACAAAAACAGACTATCATTGTCATTTTCTCCGTGTATTGGTTGATACATTGAAAAGCAATTGTCATCTTTCACAATGGCTTATGTAAGCCGAAAGCTTAGATTGGATTTAAATAAATATCAATGTGGTGATTTCCTTCCGTCTTTCAATGATAATGTTATTACGCTTATCAGACAATATGAAAGAAACCTACTTAAATAGACAAAACGTCTATATTATTTAATGAAACATGCATCAATGAAAAACTGATGCCTAAATCTACACAATATACATACATATATAAAAAAAATCGATTCTCCCGTCGGGTTCGACGTATGAGGATCAAGCAGATCAGTTTCCAGGAAACTGACAGCCCGACACCGGCACATGAGATTCGATTATAGTGGTGAAGGTTTCGTGCAGGACCATCCACACTTTTTGAAGGGCCGAATACAGAGACCTGGTGCACTACGTGCCACAAGGTCCCCAAACGACCCCCCCTCAGGTTTTGAATTCAGAGTTGTCCTTCTCCTAGACCAGTTGATATCCGAGGCTATAGAACCCAGTCTGTCCTGATATTTAACCCATAGCTGGAGGGAGAAGAAGAGGATTAACACCTTTTACGTGCTAAGATACATATATATATATATATATATATATATATATATATATATATATATAGAGAGAGAGAGAGAGAGAGAGAGAGAGATAGATAGATAGATAGATAGATAGATAGATAGATAGATATGAACAGACTGACATACATGGATAAATAGATATGAACAGACTTACATACATATGAACGGGATAAGATAGAATAAAACCGAACTAGCTAGCTAGATAGATAGACAGACAAACATAACCACACTCTGATTGATAGATATGAACGGGATAAGATAAAATTTAAAGAAAAATCAAGATAGATAGATAGATAGATATGAACAGACTGGCATAGATAGATTTGAACAGGATGAGATAGAATAAAATCTAGATAGATAGATAGATAGATAGATAGATAAATATGAACAGACTGACATAGATAGATTTGAACAGGATGAGATAGAATAAAATCTAGATAGATAGATAGATAGATAGATAGATAGATAGATAGATAGATAGATAGATAGATAGATAGATAGAACAGACTGACATAGATAGATTTGAACAGGATGAGGTAGAATAAAATCTAGATAGATAGATAGATAGATAGATAGATAGATAGATAGATAGATAGATAGATAGATAGATAGATAGATAGATAATATGATTAGATAGATAGATAGATAGATAGATAGATACTGGGCTGGAGATACGCCCAAGAAAAAAGGATAGATAGATAGATAGATAGATAGATAGATAGATAGATAGATAGATAGATAGATAGATAGATAGATAATGACAAACGAGATGAAGTTACGTATACGGAGCTGTTAAAATAAATAAATTATAGACCGCGTATGTGGGGAAAATGTGTACACGTGTTTGCAATAGATTAGGAAGTAAATAAGGTTTCTGATTTAAGGCCTTCCATTTTTACTTGAGAGAAACACTTAAAACGAGTCCGTTAATGGAAACCTTACTTGAAAAAAGAAAAAGAGAATGCAAAGGGATGGAGGTTTTGGATTCTTGCCGCTAATCAATAAACCTTATTAACGTGTGACCTCGCCGTGTCCTCACGATTTCGCGTTCACTTCGAAGTGTTCTTTGCTTTCTTTCATCTTTCAAATAAACACGCCCGATAGCAGAAACTTGAAAACCGAGAAGGGGGAACAAATAAGACATTGAGAAAAACGTTGGTGAAGGAGATACGAATAGACGTATGAAGAGGCGGCAGGTCGATTACCAAAAAACAATAACCTGTGTTACTGGAGCTCACCGATAGTATTTTCTTTGCCAGTACAAGTCTGGCTGATTCATAAGAAGATTACTGTTAAAGTATGTACTTCCAAAGTAACGTGGTAGTTAAGTTTGAAAATTTATTTAAATAAAGGAAAAATCTAAGAATTTTATATTAAATCTAATAGATTAAACTTAATATTTACGATACTAACGATAACGATAATACTTTGCTCTATTTCGAAACTAATTTTAATTGTCTTGAAGTATTTTCAAATCGCTGATTTTAACGCCAGTAAAATCTAATTCTCTTTATTTAAAAGTATTTCAGAAATAAAATATACTTTTCTGAAATTTTATTTGAGAAATATTAGCTAATTTAAAGCTTATTTACTCTGATTTGAAACAAATATTACTTTATTTTAAATATTGCAGAAATGCATTTTAACATGGAAGTATGTGTTGAGAATTTGACTGTTTGATTGACAAAAGGAAGTTTATCTAATTTTTCTACGGGGGACATATTTGTAAAAATACTTGTATATAACATGAGTACCTTCTTTATATCATTTTTAACTACCCAGTAAATACATAAATAGAAAAGTTGCGTAAGGCAAGGATGCGTCTTCTCACCCGACCTGTTCGACCTATACAGCGAGGCAATTCAAAGAGAATTGGAATCCCTACCGGGAATTAGCACTCGTGGCCACAATCTTAACAACATAAGATACGCAGATGACACAGTACTGATAGTAGATACGAAAAGGAAATTACAAAATCTCCTAGACAGGGTAGCGACGGAGAATGTGAAGAAAGGATTAAGATCACAAGAAGACAGAATGCATTGTCATCTGTAAAAGGATGAACCAGAAATGCGATTTACAGGTCGGGAACACTAGAATCAAGCAGACGCAGAAATTTAAATAACTTGGAAGCGTTTTGACAGAGGGTGGTAAGAGCGGCACTAAGATCCGTAGACGTATTGGGATGGCCAAGGACGCATTCCAAAAGCTGGGCAGAGTATTGCAAGACAGGAGCATTTCTTTGGTAACAAAGAAAAGAATACTGAGCTGTTACGTGGCATCTGTCCTCCTATACGGCACCCTAACCCCGGACCATTTCCTCAGAGATGAAGAAGAGATTCGATGCGACGGATATGTTCTACAGAAGGATAGTAAGGATATCATGGACCGAGCGTGTGAGCAACGATGAGATCTTAGAGAGGATGCAAACAAGGAGGAGGGTTATACTTAACATCAGGAAAAGGCAGCTGAAGTTCCTGGGACACATAATGAGGAAAGCGGGCCTTGAGAATCTGATACTCATGGGTCGAATAGAGGGAAAGAGAGACAATGAAAAACAACGCGTGACTTAAGCAACTGAATGAGAGAACCTGATCTGGGGGAGGAAGCAGAGGGAAGGAACTTGTTGAGTGCTGCAAGGGACAGAGTAAGATGGAGAGCCATAATCGCCTACGTCCTGAAAGGACATGGCACATAAAAAGAAATAATCTATAATTTTTTTAAAAATTATTATTCGTAATCTTATATTCTTAATGCATTTTAGCTACTTTTGCTTCAAATTTAGTATAGTTATTGGTTTTATTTCTGATAATGTCGTGTATGGAGATACGTACTTGCAAAATCGTCATGTTTATACACAAGATATATAAGATAGAATTCAAATTTAATTTTTAAAATTTTGAGCGTCGATTAATTGTAATTAGTAGTTTTCCATTTAGGATGTAAATTAGATTTTACTTAATAATAATATCACTTAACGGATCAAATTAATGCATAAATTTTAAAGATTTATAAATTATTCTAATTACAACTTTTAAAAAATGAGAACAATTCTTGTAAAAATTCATTATTCATTGAATTCTTTTCTCTTAAGTCAACAGTGTCTATAATATATTTATTCATAAAAGCAATAAAAAGTTTTTCTAATTAGGTAATGTCTTCGTCTTATTTCATATGTTATTTTACGATTCAGAGCAGATTTTTGGTAATTGAGGTTTCTTTTCTTTAAAAAAAAAAATGATTTAAATTCTTCAAGGTATTTTATGTAATATAAACATTGACCGGTACATAATTTAATTTCTCGGAATTTCATTAAATTAAATATGTGGAAGATAACAGATTAAAAATGATTTTTTTACAAAAGAGACATTTCTAAAATAATTTAATTCCTTTATATATGCCTTGCAAATTTCATTAAAATCCGACAATTATTTGATTTTTGCAAGAATTTCCAAATCAGTGTGTTTTTCATCGCAAAAAGACACCTAAATTTTCTATACTCATCATTGCTCTCCCTGCTAGAAAAAAACATGATTTTTTAAACTAAATTTCGAACGTTCTAAAAAGGATAAAGACATATAATTTCATAATGAATACCTCCTTTGTTCTTTCCTCTTAATAAAAACATAATGATTATATCGATAAGTCTTTTTTTATTAAGTTTAGGGCCTTTTTTCATCAAGGTATGCTCATTTTTTAGCGTATCTCTAGAGGTCAGTCTGTTATGTGCCATGCGTGATCCACGCTTAGGCGATCATGTATCTTTCGATACATGACTGACGAGGCAGATTTTTTCCTGCATTAGGTTGTCATTTCTTTCTGCGGTAGACCAGTTGCCATCCAAGGCTATAGAACCCGGTCTGCCCTGCTATTTACCCATAGCGGTGGGGGGAGAGAAGAAGAGAATTCATACCTTTCTCTTTATTAGCACGTAAGTGATTCGACTGCAGTTCGAACTCGGCTCTCCGATTCCTCAATCTGAGCCGCTATCCATTACTCCACCGTGTGATTTCTTTTTTTTTATTAGGCGAATATGAAAGAAAAAGAGGGTTCTTAAATAAAATTTTAAAAGTTTGTATAAATTAACATTTGCTAAAATAAATAAATTAAATAGATTCAAATTATAGTGGACGTATACTGAATAATAGATTCAATTCTAATAAGAAGTTAATCTGTTATTCAGTGTCAGCTTAAATAAAAATGACTAATGAGTATATCAACTGTCCTGTTTGATACATGCTTGGGCGATCAAGTCTCTTCCGATTCATGACTGAGCAAGTAGAATTTCCTGCAGTAAGTCGCCGTTTCTTACTGGTATAGACCTACGTTTTTCTTCAAATTGTATCGGCTCGAAACGAGAAATCGGAGATCCAAGTTCGAATTTCCAACCGACATCGTTATGTTTAATTACACTTGCTTATGAAGAAAAATACAAATTTCACAATATAAAACATATTGCATTGAAAAGCTTCATTTTATAAAACAAGTATATTTATTAAGTTACGAAAAATCCTATACTCTTCAAGTAATGGTTTTTAAGATTAAAACGATTATATTTCTGTTAAATATTCGCATGAATTTCCCTATTTTTACATCCACATCCAGGTATAAATAAAATTACGCGTATAAAATAGTCAGTACTAGTAGCAGTCCATGTGATAATACGAGTAGTAGACTGTTGTAACAGCTCGAGTTGATGTCATTAAGAAATATTTCGCAGTCTTGTCTATTTCCTGCCGTAAGTGAAATATCTTCATAAAAAGAAAAGAAAAAATGGAAATCACCTCAAGTATTTCTAGATTATAACAATTATTGATTTTCACATTATTTTTCTCTTTCTTTTTCTATTCCTTGTGAACGATTTGAATGTTTTTTCCGAGGCCAGCATTTTCTGACCTTCCGCATTCCACAAATTAAAGACAAATAAACACTTCAAGGAATACACTGGGACATAATGATTTCTTGTATATAAAAGGCCAAATACTTGTTATTTAAAATACATCTGTTCCGAAGTCTTTTTTTTATAGTATTGTATCTCGTTAACAGCGTGTTGATGGCAGACATAGCAATTTACATTTAGCAATTTCATCTGTAAAATGACGAGACTTGTTGTCAATCTCGTACTGCGTTTAAATTCGTAAATTCGAGGAACTAAAGTGGAAAACTTTGAAAAAATACTACGAAAAGTACAAGAAAGCTACGTTAGGTGGTAAAATGACTGAAGTTGACATGCCAGTTCGGGACCAGTAACATTGCAAATACTATTTGGGATTTTATTTCTAAGTACGTAGCAGAAGCACAGCCTTCAAAATCATACTCTTCGGTGAACGAAATCACTTAGTTACAGAAAATACTAAAGCCTTGACACGCCTTCACAAAATAGTTACTTTTCTCATTTCTCCATCTATCTACCTCATGTTGTTAAACTACAACAGGCCGCAATAAAGACTGAATTAATTAAACAAGCATTTAGACTTTCTATTCTCTTAGTCAACTTCTGGTGTATTAAAGATTATTGTTGAAAGAGTCTCTCAAGCTAAGATAAAATGGTGAAGCTCGAGATGTTTGCTTTGGACAGGTTGAAAGATTATGGCATTTCCTGACGAATTTTTGAACAGAGTCTTTCATATCTGTTAAGGGGTCCACCCCTTTTTATACAAGTGGACTCGCTCTGTGTGTACTTGTACTGCTGCCGGTGAATACCCGAAAGTGAAACAGTGAGAGAGTAAGAATGTGAGGTAACCGATCTGTAGGAGTCACAGTTGCGAGCACGTAGACTCAGAAGGAAGTCCTACTTTGATACTGAATTTTCCAAACTGTATATATATTATTATTATTGCTACTAACCACATTTCTGGATCTACTAACAGTATTAGTAATTGTATTATTACGTCAATATATTTATTTGCTATATTTCATTCCTGCGTTTGTCATTCATTTGAGACCGGGTTTCATCCCGGAATCCACAACAATATCAAATCGTGAAATGAAAGTTGTCCTGAACAGCCAGCGTTCTAGATCTTTTTTGTATTAAAGAAGATGTCACCCAGGGCTTAATCCTTGGACCTACGTTGTTTTACTTTTCCTCAATGACCTTCCTGATCGTATTCCAAGTTTTCGATGTGGTATCTACGCTGATGGCAC